ACTGCTGTAGGAACCTTACGGCGAGTTTTCGAGTTTTCAAAGTTACAGCAGGACCCTTCTCGCTCGGTGCATGCATGCGCTTTCCGTGCGCGCCGTCCGCGGGTGCTGCTGCATGTCCGTGCATCGAGGCACTTTCTACATCTATCGCTCACGAATATCCATCTCGCTTCTACCCGAGTGAGAAGCACTTGAGAAGCGGCCAGGTGGGGTTGCGTCGCGAAAGCCGTGCAGTTATTATGTAGCAAGGCCGACAGCCAGCGCGCCTGCCAAAAAAAGAATCTTCTAGCAGGATTAGCGCGAAGAGACGGTACGACTTGTGCCCGACTTTTGGCTGTTGGAGATGGAAAATATGACACTGTCGAAACATTACTATTTCGATTCCACACAGCAGAGGGTTAGGTATATACACTACCGGTGTCTGCCTAGCGGTCCGAAGCATTTCATGGATGTGCGTGGACGAGGATGACACGCGAAGAGCGCACTAGAGGTCTTGGCTGCTTCTTGGTAGCGCCCTGGTCGTGAGGCCCGAAGCGGATCATCATCATATTCCACGAAACGAATTAGTAAAAGGTCGCCACCAACGACGAGAGACTGCTGTCGCGGACCTCTCGCTCCTTTGTCGGCAGTCAACAAGTTTTCGCCCGAGCCCTCTCGAATGAAATCGACGTCCGTGGTGGTTATGTCCAACGTGCGGCGCTAGATGCGTAGGTCCCTCCGCCAGCGAACGGGGCTGAAAACACATGTCATGCCATCATGACACCAAACGACATAACACCAAAAACGCCGAGACTTCCCATTGCCACAAAAAAAACGACGGAATATCGAAAGAACGACATGAAAAAAAAACGCGAACAACGAACACATGTGACACGAACAGTACATATTCTACACGGAACCCACCGAGTCGCCTTGCCGTTGTTGTTGCTGCTGCTGCTGCTGCTGCGCGGGAGCTCGCGCTTGCCTCTGCTGTTCGTCTTCCCTGTTGCCCCCACCTCCACCAATCTTCCAAGCCTCGCGCACCGAGTCAGTCGCCCGTGAAGCCTTCTCGTCGACGTGCCGGTGACCCTCGGCTGCTAACCTGGGTGGTGCCGCCCCCGCTGCCGCCGCTGCTTGATGCTGGACCTTCCGCGCCCCCTGCTGCTGCTGCTGCTGCTCGCTCTTGCAACCGCCGTAGTACCCCGAGCCGAAAAATTGCCCTGATGCCCCGCCACGAGGTTCGGGAGCCTCGTATCCAGGGGTGGCGCTTCTGTCGAGTTTCGCGGCGGCAGAACTGCTGGTGGTGGACGTGGTGAAGGATGGGGAGGGGGTGGTGCTGCCGCGGCCAAGTTCTTCACCCTTGTCTTCTATGACGTAGCCCTCGAAGGAAGAACACCTGGAAAATGATTTGGCGTTGTAGGATGGTTATTTGCTGGTGTTTTGGGCTCCGTGGAGTGTGGAGTTTTTTTTTTTCTGCTGCTGGAGTTTTTTTTTTGGCGCTGCCTACCTGCCTGTCTGCGTAGAAGAGGGTGGGGGATCTACTGATGTACACCCCAGCAGAAGAAAAATGTACATCACGCCGGAATGACACAGATGTGTGCAAGACGTGGAGGAAACGCCGTCCGTCGCACCCGACAAGAAGTTGCTTCGTTGTGCCTCGCCAATAACCGAATGAGCGGGATTTGTTGTTGTTTGTCGCCGTGTGTGTTGGGGGATGGCACCGATGACGGTGTGTGCCACTGACGCCTCGGTGGAAAGTGGGAGACGACGGGGTCTCTCCCTCGTACGAATGTTTCCAATCTGAAGTACGTTCTGGCTTCCAATATTCCCCCCGAGCAGACGGCTGGTGAAAATGTTGGGGCATTCGTGAATGTTGTTCCAACCCCCGAAGAAGCGGAGGAAAATTGGGAAATCTCCCTCCGCGCGAAGACACGTCAAGCTTTTTTCACAACCAAAAAAAAAACATGTTCTGTGTGTCTTGGATTGTACATATCATATGGATAGCTCCGTTCAGAGCTCATCAATCAAATTAGTCAATCTCATGCATGTCTCCTTCTCTCCCTTCTATCCATCTATTCTCGTGTTCTGAACAGTACACACAATAAAGGAGGGGGCACGTCTCACCTGCAGACTCGTCTGCGGGTATGCATGCATGATGCTTGGCTCTCTGTCAATCTCATCAATAAACAACAGACACACACAGCTCCCAGGCTCAAAAGAGTGTAAAACTACTTTTCCCCACAAAAATTGAAGCATGACAAAAAATTTGGGCACACAAGAGGAGGCGGCTGCCGCCGCCTTTTGAGCGAATGGCGACTGTCACACTGCTGAGGCTACACTACGGCCGTACGCGAAGGGTTACGGGAGTATGCTGCACTCCGAATCGAGGCTCTACTGCAGCATTTGCTGTGTTCAGACTGCTGTAAGCCCAGTCCAACAATGAAGGAGTCAGATGAGGCAAATACCGCTGCATGCCAACGAGCATTATATACCAAAAAAAACGAATGCCTCTCTTGCCTTCGTTGATGTCTTCGCTGCTCAGCTGCTAACCCGCCGCTGCCGCTAGAACGCTGCTGTTTTCTCCTTTCCCCTGACTCCGTGCCAGCAGCAGCAGCCGGCGATTGCGAGGAAGAACCCCCCGCCCCGCCAGACCACGCGTATCGGGACCGCACGGGACGCACGGCCTGAGACGATGCCGCCGCCGTCGTGTGGTGCTTGTTGCTGTCGTCCCCGTGCAAGCGCTCCGGGTGTTCAGTGATCGCTGTCGCGGTGTCAGCCGCCACCGCCTCTCCTCGAAAAGACGGCGATCCCCCGTTCCAACCCCGCCCCACACCAAGAGCCGGCGCCATGGCTCGGTCAAGGGCTTGGAGCACCGGAGGGCGCTGGTCTACCGCAAGTGGGTGCCCTGTCCGCTACTGCGCTCCGTTGTGTTGTTGTCGGGGGACGCTCTCTTTCTCTTTTATGTTCTACGGGGAAGCAGCAGACTTTAGACCCGTTTCGAAATTTACGCCCAGCTGTCTGTGTCTTGCTTTCTTTAGGCTGCTTCAAGGCCCGTCCCTGCAAGGAGCTAAGGTTGGCGATTGAACCTCCAGAAAAAAACACTCCACGCACGCCAGCCACTCCCCGGGGACGTGGGAGGCAAGATATGTAGGGTCTGCTGCCGTGTGGACAACAAGAGTGCTGTCGAATATATCCTCTCGTTCGTTTTGTTTTTTGGCGCACCACCTTTCCACAGATTATCATTTTTTTTTTTATTTAGGAGAAATATACACACGCACAGAAATGCTCTAGAATCAAGGGGTCTACCTCCAACAGACTACTGATCCGGGTTAATCGCCGAGGGGGCAATTCTTTGCGCTCGGAATAACAATAAAAAAAATTGTTGTCAACGGTAGTTTCACGCTATAATGCAATGGTTCTCCGTTGAGATGCAATCAGAACGCTGAATCTTTACGCTATTTCCTAAAGGCGTTGGCCTACGTAGTCGGACGTATGCATACGTTTACGTTGATCGACACCCCGAACTGTAGTTACGGAGCTGTTGTTATTACAGGGTGAGAGGACATGCTTCAGGCACGCAGCAGCAACGTGCCCGCCAATGAGGGTCCTCTTCGCTCCTCTCTTGATTCTTTGTTCCCAAACAATTTTGTTGGTTGGATGGATGTGGATGGATGTGAGATGGTGACTTGCCGTTGTTTTCAAAGAGTTCGGTCTGTCCTGCTATCGACTGCACATCCGCGTTCTTCAAAGGTTACTGGCACTGCAGGTTCCGAAAACGAATAAGAGGATTGTGAGGACAGAGGGATATGGTTGGTTTGAGGACTGCGAGCAATGCCTTTCGCCACAAGCCCTATGCCAATACCCATTGGTCTTTTCTCGGTCGACGGATTGCTGCGGAATGGTCGTGGTCGTGCGGTCGACAGCGAAACACAGATCACGAGAGATGAATCTTTTGACGTAGACTATGGGCAGATCCAAAAGTTTGGGGAGCGTGGTTAGGGCCTGGATCCTCTGATGGATCAATCCTCCTGAATGGATCCTGGTGGGATACAAGGTGGCAAGGATTCTTCAGTTGGGGTCACACATAGGGTCCGGCGTCCGGTGACAGCGACAGTGATGGTAGACGGTCATGGGACACCATGATAGTGCGGGCTCCCAATGAATCAATGCGCTGTATATGGTGCTCCGCTTCCTTTGTATACTCTGTACCTCTACTGCCGCTGCGGTTCAGAAATAATGCGTAGAATCCAGCTCGAACGTCGTCAATATTCGACACTTAAGGCATCTGTTTGCAGGTAGATCGTATTCCAAGTCGGACCTACATTTCATGTGACTCCTTTCAGAAATACTCCTGGCGTTTAAATATAGTCCCACACCAACAACGTGGCTACGTGGACAACGGTGGCTGCATAAAAAGCCTGTAGCGTTGCACACTGCGCACACAGGCAAGACATTTCCACCCGATATGCGGCATCTACGCATCTACAGTAAAGCGACTACTGTTGGAGACTGTAGATGACTTGATTTTGACGGACCACCTGAATACTACTTAACTTTCCAAGCACATGAGACGAACAGCCCGAAACAAAAGGTGTTTGGTGTTTGGCCATGTATGATTGACTCACCCGCCGTTGTACCGGTTGATGAAGTACTTTTATTCCAACAGGAACTCGAAACCCCCCGCCTCTGGCTGGGGAGGCAGACAACAACCGCGAGCTAAGTAAGCGGCCGACGTCTCTCGGCCCTGCCTGCCTGTGTGCCCGATTCCTTTCCGAGAGCTCGAGCGCCCGGGCCTACGGCGAAGAACCTGCTCCTACCTCCGGAGTGAGTTCTGTGATATTCTCGACAAGAACGACAACAGAGGGAGGCCTTTCTCGCGAAAGAGTTGCCGTCCGCCGAGTGTGAACGAAGTACAGTAACTCTCGAACGATTGCTAAGTACGACAGGGACGAGTGCATCACGCCAAAAATACACCAACGCGAGGACCTTGCTTCTCACGACGACCAGTCTGGGTACGGTGAAAAATGGGGCGGAGCTGCTGCAGACGCGCGCTCGACGCTCTGTGCCCTTGCTTCCGCCGACACCGCTTGGGATCGTCGACGTCGGTAAGTGGCGCCTCGGGCGAGCACGACATGAGCCTGAACTTCATACTGCACGGGGAGTGCGGCGTGGGGAAGACGAGCCTCAGGAACCGGTGGGTCGACGGCATCTTCACGGGAGACGTTGCACCCACGTTCGGCGTAGACTTCAACATAAAAACTCTCGATCTGGTGCAAGAAGAAGGGGAAGACGAGGGCGACCAGGCGCGAGAGGAAGAGACTGCCGTCGCAGGCAAGACCTTACCGAGCGGAGGACGAGGAAAAGGTGGGTCCACGGCCAAGCAGGCGCCGCACGCGGATCTGAAGGTGAAGATCAACGTGTACGACACGAGTGGCAAGCCTGGCTATCGTGATGTTAACAGCACGTACCTACTGGCCTTCGACGCGGTGCTCTTCGTCTACGACATTTCCTCGGTGTCTACGCTCAACGTAAGAGTGATCGACGGTGCGAATATGAGAAGGCTGACTTAGCCTCGTGTCCTATAACGTGTCGCCGAGACAGATCTTCTATTTTATGCGTATGCGCGCAAGTGGCTGCATTCGAATCATGCAACAGTCTACCGCTGCTACTCACGGCGCGTGCACGCAACAAGACATAACACATCATTGTCGGCGGTGGGTGCAAACCACGAACAATCGTACAACACGCAACCTACTGTACACCCAATGCCTACACGTAGAGTAAACATGGACCCGCTGCTTGCCTTCTCGTCTTCGACACCGGGCAGGAACTACGCCAATATTTCAACAACCCAGAGCACCGTGAAAAGCTTGCGGCGAAGAAGAAAGCAGGCATGGCAATGCTTTTGGTGGGGAACAAGTGCGACATGCCGCTATCGCAACGACAGGTGAGAGGGTAACGGGGGGATGGAGATTATGTACAGGCTCGTCTTGGATATACGCCTTCTGTTGTGCCCCATACATGTCAGCCTTTCGTGGCAGAGTAGGTCTTCAAACAGCTATTAACCCTTAGCCAACAATATCCATCCCCCACGCCGCAATTCGCACGTACGTAGACGAAACCTCCGTGAGATCCCCTCCCCCTCCCAAATCTGTCCATGCATCGTGCTGTCTTTATCCGAACGTCATGTTGTCGCTGCTTTATGTTCGCATCACGATCCCCGCCACCCTCGTATGTACAACTATGCCCCAACCCACACCTGCTCATGCTCCTTCGCGTTTGGCTTGTGAACATGGGGGGAGCAGGTCGGTTCTCAGACAGGGCAAGACACTGCGGCAGAGTTCGGCATGCCCTTCGTAGAGGTGAGCGCCAAAACCGGGACAAACGTGAGAGAGGCCTTCATGTTCGCCACGACTCGAGCCGTCGGGGAGCACCTCGCCCGCACCCGACTGAAGCAGTCGGCGGGCAGGGGGAGGGGGGCGACGGTGAAGAAGACGATGCAGAAGGTTCCGGGTCTTCAGGTATAAAGAGAACCAAGACACACAATGTTGCAGCAGTTGCTAATGTTCTGGCCGTTTCCCTTACGTTTGTCTATTCATGCGCATGGCTGCCCAGCGCGCATGTTCGGCACGGCGTTGTCCAGTGTATGCCCCGACATCATGCAATAGTATGGGACGTATCCTCGCCAAACCTTGCCAGATCGCTTGATGCCAATGGCAAAGAGATGCACGCCCTGTCCTCGAAACAAAACGTGAAGATGATGACTTGGTGTGAATGCGAGGGGACGGAAATGATCTTTAATGGTGATCGCAACGAGGGGGCACGAAAGAGAGGCAAGCCCTGCTCTCGAAATCCAGGTGCAGATAGTTTGGCAGCGTTTTTCGTGCACGCACGGACTGGTGATCTCACACGTTTTGGTACCTGTTTCTTTGGAGCCTCCCAGGCGATGAGCTGCAGACAGCAGCAAGGGCAAAGCCACGATGACTAAACAAACAGTTTCGCGGCGTCTCGCAATGGAACCCAACGCACGGCAATACTTGACCATCCCCACGCCTGACACAACTAGCCCCGCCCCTCGCGCGTCCGCAACTTGCGTTTGGTGTTGAGAAAAACAGCGCGCTCTGCGCACGAGGGCTAGCGTGCTGGACGTGTTCACTGGTCTGACGGGGCGTCGCCGTTACCCCCAGAAAGCCCAACCCGTCGGCATCCTCCCGGCAGCCCCACCCACCGCCGGCAACGCCACCACCGCCGCAACTACCTCCGCCAGTGGTGGCGGCGGCTGCGGCGGCGGTTCGGCGGCAGAAAGGCCGTTGCAGCGCCCGTCGTCCTCCGCCCGGCGCGGCGGGAGAGGAGGCCTGGGTCAAGGGACGACCGCCCAAGCGTGGGCGCTACGCGCGGCAGCGCCGCCCCACCGCTGCCACCTGTCGAGAGCCAAGTCTTCTTCGCCCCGTGGCTTGACAACGGCGGCGGCGGCGGCCTTCCAGGGGCTGCAGCAGCGGCGGCCGGAGTCGCCGGTAGCTCGGAGCGGGACTGGGGACGCGGCGACGTCGAGTTTGCTCGAAAGGCCGGAGTTGTCGCCGGTGGATGTGGAGAGGTGTGTGTGTGTGTGTGTGTGACGCAGCGGGCGATGCGCGTGTGGAGTATCTTTGCGTCCCTTCTCGCTGGCGTGGTGTTGTTTCGGTTACGTGTGTTGCGATGAGAAAACTGATTTCGGGTTTCAGAGCAACAGATTCCCCCCTTCTTTCTGTTCGACGGAACCCGACCGTCTGGGGCACTCGTGTACATCACAAAGCTGGCGTTTACCTGCTGACTCTACCGTCGCCTTTTTTAGCTTTCGATCAGGATCACGCGGTTAGTGCGGTCGATGTCAAGGAAGTTACACGCGCACAAACCCGTGCCGCCCCCTCACGGGATCCCAGTTAATGGCATTTAAAAGTGTTCTTTGATTTCACCCGCACGGAGAATGGCGTCTTTTCATTGGTCAGCCGGTTAGCGCGGTCGATGCTAGCAATAGAAATACACACACCTACGCGCATCAACCCTTCCAACATGTACCCACGCCCGTTTCTCCTTTTCCGGGGCAGAGGTTCCGAGGGGGCCGCGTTCCGGAAGGGAGGAGCGTCCACGCTAGCTACGACGACAGCGGCGGAGGACAAGGAGTCCGTCTTGGCGTGCGGTCGTCGCTCCAGCGGGACGTCCCCGGAACGAACCGTCAGTACCAGTGGCGGCAGCCACGGCGATGTCTCGCAGGGTGCGGCGGCGGCGGCGGCAGCGGCGGCGGTAGCGACGGCCGAAGAGAGCGCGACGAAGCAGCTGCGAGAGGCCAGCAGTTTCTGGTTGGTGCGTGCATTCTGTGTACATACCGCCATGGGTCGGGGGGGGGGGAGGG